AGTGGTTGCTGCGGTCCATAGACATCTACATCTATCCTCGATTACAAATCAAAATGCAGTAAAAAGGGTCTTCGGTTCTCTACACTCACCATACGAAACACAGCAGCATTAAGCTACTATTTCACGCTGGTATTCTGTGAGAGCGTGGTCCTTCCCCGGTCGAGCCGACCCATTCGTGCTACAACTATACCATTAATATAACTGCAGCATGGCTCTACCACGTATCGGTTCTGAGCCACCTGTATCCATCGACTTTCTGCATGTCTTATCGGGTCGTCTCTCCATCTATGTAAATATATATAAATCTATGTAACGTACGTAATGAAAAATCGCTGGTAAACCCAATAATAATAATAATAATAATAATAATAATAATATCCCACAACTATCACACAACGCCATCTAGTCCCAAGCTAAGCAGAGCTTGTGTTATGGGTACTAGACAACCGATAAACATACTTATATATTTCTAAATACATAAATATTATAGATAAATTACACCCAGACACAGAACAAATGATCGCGCTCATCACACAAACATTTGACCTGGGTGGGAATCGAACCCACGACCTCCGGCATAGCAGTCGGGTCACTAACCACTAGACCAACAGGCCTGTCAAATATATAATAAATAAATAAATAATATAATAATATTTTCTCTGTCATATGGGACAGTTTAAAAAGGAAATTGAAGCTGTAATGGATTAAAGTAATAGCTAAATTATCATTTCACTTTAATATTACACATTACTTTGACTTAAATTCACTTTAGTTTTTGCACACCTAAGTATGTCATGGTGTTCGCTTGTTGTCGATGCGTAACTTAACTGTGGAAACTTTATTGTTAAATGTAAGATTAATATGTGTTATGTAATAGACTAAAATTATGTATGTTTCCCTTGAAGATAAAATAAATAAATAAAAATCTAGTGGGGGGTCGCCCTACACTACGCCTACCGGTACGAGCCTGCCACTCGAGAACTTTTTTCTATAGGGTTGTAGGTTTTTCGAGGTATATAAAAATGTTTATTCAAGTCTAAATGGGATGCAAATAACACCCCCTCAGCGCCAATATAAGGCAGTTATTTTGATATTATTGACAGACACTTCAATTTTTTTTATATGTATCTAGAACATAGATGTAGAAATGAGTTTATTACTGATTACGTTATAAATTTACATAAGTCGCGTCAAAAGGTATATTTATTAATCCCGGGGCAAATGCTAGGGGCCCATAACCTTCGAAGCGTTATAACTATCTGAGACTTGCCAGACGTAAAACCCAGGAACGTGATGGAGAGCAGCGTCAAAATCGGGAAACCTGACATTGAGATGAAATCTAGAATTTTACCATTGTCCAATGTTAGCCACACTAACACTGGTGGTGATACGTTGTTAAGACATACCCTCTCTACTATAGGAGAAGAAAACAAAAAAAGTTATTTTCTTCCTGTTCCGTGGGAGACACCGTGATCAGTTCTGAACTGTTTAGGTACAGCCCCATGTGGAAAGTATTTGGCAATAAATTCCTTTATTCAATTCACATTCCTGTACATCAATCATCACTGCAGTTCATCACTACGTCCACAGTTGGAGATAGTCCTCCTCCAAGTAAAGTCACAAGCACGGTCCTGAGTCATGTGCATCCATCGAGTTCCAGCATCTTTTATCATGTCGTCACTCCCATTTAACCGAGGGCCGCCCTACATTTCGCTTACCAGTACGAGGCTGCCACTGGATAAACTTTTCTCCACAACGGTTTTCAATTTATAGAATAAGTGTGACAAACTAGCAAATCTACATTTATCCTCAATTATGAATCAAAATGTAGATGAGTTTTCACCCCTGAGGACTAAGATGGAATGCCTTGTTTCCAGTAAACAGGGTATCCGGTCTCTACATTCACCATACGAAACACAGCAGCATTACGCTGCTATTTTACTCTGATATTCTGTGAAACCATAATATAGCTGCAGCATGGCACTACCACATAACTTGGTTCTTCAAGATATATGGCCAGCCCATAGCCACTTCAGCTTACTGATTTGTTGAGCTACGTCTGTATTTACAGTCACTACTAAGTCTTCATTGCTTGATGGGCGACCTTGAGCCTCCTCATAAGGTCAGTGGTGATAGAAAATGCCTCAATTCCATGTGTCATCGCTGGCAACAAACAAATTGTTCATAACATAAAAGTAAGTGGTAAATAAAACTTGTTCTATTGCTGTGGTATTCCATATAGTACAATAAAATAGAATAAAACAGAGGTGACAACGCATTTTAATTTTTATTCGAGGATAATAGACCTACCTAGTTAATATGCGCCGCAGTATAGTTTTACCATCAGGTTGACTAGGTACACTTCTTGTCACACTTACTTATTTAAAAATAATTCTAGGTATACAAATAAAAGCAGTAAAATTGTAAGAGAATTCTTCAACTTTTTAATTTCTAGGTATAATTACTGTAGACCAAATCCAATAGTAACTGGAAGTGAACTAATTGGATGTAAGAATAATTATCACGATAATTCCGAATTTAAAATTGAAAAAAAATTATTTAAACTCAAAACTCAAAGTCGCTCAGCGAGCTATGGAGAGGCCTATGCTTGTGGTTTCTCTGCGTGATAAGACTTAAAAACGAGGATGTCAGTAGAACCAAAGTAACCAATATAGCCCAACGGATTAGTAAGCTGAAGTGGCAATGGGCCGGCCATATAGCTCGAAAAACCAACAACAGATAGGGAAGATATGTTCTCGAGTGGCAGCTTCGTATGAGCAGGCAAAGTGTAAGGCGTCCCACCACTAGACGGAGTGACGACCTGGTAAGACATGCAGTTGATGGATGCAAGTGTTTCAAGACTTCCTTGTGGCATTCCTTGAAGGAGCCCTGCCTTCAGCAATGGACTTATGAAGGGCTGTAATGATGATGATAATACTCTTGCAGTCATAATTGCTATTAAGTGCCGTACAGTGGCGGCGTAAGAGAATCCACTACCCCTTTTTATCCCATAGGTGTCATAAGAGGCGACAGAGGGAAATGAAGCAGGAGATGGGAAGCAGCATATTACTGATAACAACTCAAAATAACAAAAACTGCAGTTGACAACCTGCCTGCTGAGCGTGGTAATGAAGTTAAATGTAATCTTACGAAACAATCTATTGAGGAGGCCTATGTTCACCAATGGACTTTAATAGGATGTAATAGATGGATGGGTATCATGCTCTTGTCCTGTTAGGTTTTGACTTACAAAACATCGTTAGCATTATTTCACTATGCTTAGGAAGGACAGGCAGAAAATGCTTTAAGTTTTATTGCATTAGGTCTGCAGTAATTTTTTTTACATAGGAAATAATAATGTCACTAATTAAAATATCTGGTGTGATGAATTTTTTACAATAATTCTCATATTCTTCTCTATATTGCGATATAACCATTCCAACCTACATATAATACACAGATCAGTGACTAGCAGCAGCATCAAATGCATTTTTTATAGAATAAGGGTGACAAACGAGCACACATTCCACCTGATGGTAAGTGGATGCTATGGTCCATAGACATCTACATTTATCCTTAATTAAGAATCAAAACGCAGATGCATTGTCACCCCTGAGGACTAAGGTAGAATGCCTTGTACCCAGTAAAAAAGGGTCTCTACACTCACCAAACTATACACAGCAGTATTAAGCTGCTATTTTACACTGGTACTCTTTTAGAGTGTGGTCCTCGCCCGGTCGAGGTGACCCATTCGTGCTACAACCATAATATAGCTACAGCGTGGCTCTACCACATATGAAATGCATTCAATCTTCAAGTTGCGGCTTAGTAATTGCAATATCAGAAGTCATTCACCTTTTATACAAACCAAAAGGTTTGCTTCATCTTTGGTACGAAAGTAGTGGAGTAAGTTGCCAGCAACTGTCTTTCCATCAAATTACAATGTGTATAGCTTTAAGTCAGCGTGCTTTGCTATCCTCGGCTACATCACCATCAGGTGAAATAGAAGTCAAGCACTGGCTTAGAATAGTAAGGAAAATACATTTAACAATGGTAACCTTGGAAATGTACATCTGGTATAGCTTAATGTAAAGATCATAAGGTTGGTTATTATCCCTATAAGATTACTGCCAGCTGTGAAGAGAAATATCTTTATGAAACCTAGTATAGTCCGGAAAATTAAAGAATAACAAAATGATTCATGGTATGGGAATTCTGCTAGCAAACTAAAGCAGCACTGCGGTAATCCGCTTAGAAATCTTAAGAGACCTGTACACAGCAGTGGGACATATTATATGGACTTTTTTCTGTAAGTGTAGTCCTAAACTAGTCAGGTCACATCATTCATTCTATCTCTATTTTATGCTGCAGTGTGACACTACCATGTAAAAGACTAATTAATTGTGATGTACTTAATTTTCTTCTACAATTACTACATAAAGTCTATTTTGCTTATAACCTTTTTAATTGGAGCTGTGTGCATTTATTTATTTATTGTTATTATAATCTCACAAAATATTACAAAAAATATTTTTCCGATACAGGTATTTATTGTAATACTAAGTAAGCAGTATGTTACCAATATAGCCCTATAGTTAGATGGAGTGACAACCTGGTAAGACATACAGGAAATCAATGGATTGAGGTGTCTCAGGACCAAGTTTTGTGGCATTCCTTGGGAGAGGCCTTTATTCTGCAATGAACTTGTGAAAGGTTGTAATGGTGATGAGAATATTAAAGGATTTAAGATATTAAAAATTCTGGTTATTTAATTTTTTGGATTTATTGCAGGTGTTTTTATCTTTCTGTAGAGAATTACTTTGTAAGATTTTAAACGTAAACCACTTTTTCTTCACTTACTGGGTTTTGAAGTGGTACAGCCTTATGTACATAAATGTGTATACTATTAAAAAATACATAGGTACTCTTTCATTAGGCAAAGATAAGATAGAAGTCATTTTTAAAGTTAAAACAGTTTCTGAGATTGTACTGTAAACTCACTACATTGTTCTTAAAATAATATGATAGCCTGATTCCGTTTCTACTGGTTTACTCAGCTGACCAACTTTAAGTTTGAATGCTTCTTCTTCGAATGGCTGTTGCATCTGTCCACGTCCAAACATTCCAAGATCACCGCCACGTTTTGCAGATGAACAATCAGAATATTTTGTTGCAATATCTACAAATGTTGATTCATTTGTAACTATCTGCTTACGGTAACTTTTAAGCAAGTCCATAGCCTCGTCTTTGGTTCTGGTGATTGTTTCTTCACGCCATGAAGAAGGGCGGCGGCTTTCAGCATGTTTAACTAAGATGTGGCTGCATCGAACTTCCCCAGGATCAGCTGGTGCTTCAGGCCGTTCCCATTGCGACTTTTTTGTGTAAATGTTGAGAAAGTACGTCATCCCCGTTGATCGGCTAGTTCGCATCTCCCAACCCTCTGGCAAAGGTGCGTCTTCTTGACTTGACATTCTGGAATTTTCGTTGAAGTATGTTGTTTCACAATGTTCTATTGTTTATATAAATTTAACATGTAGTATGTTATTTGAACACAGTTATTTTTTTTTTTGTTTATGATTATATATTACAGACGCATTTTGTGAACGGTGTAAGTTTGAGTGAGATTCATTTAGCCGAAATATAAAAACCTAATAATCTTTGCTCACCACGGATCATTTAATAATCACAAATTTTGTTATTAAGGTCAAAAAATAAAGATTAATTTCTTAAACTATACTAAAATATTATTGTAATTAATAATTAACCTAAAATTACAATGTATGCGTTGAGGCGTTGGATCATTGAAAAGCTTTAAAAATGCAATGTACAATTTAAAATCTTACCTTTGTGTTAGAAGCTTTACAGATACTCCTCAACACTAAATAAATCTACTATATAGGCAGTAAATTACTATTTATTTAACTATTTATTTAGGAAATCCAAATCCGGAATCAAAATTATATGATACAAACAAACTCCCATAGATTACTGTGTTTATACCATAGATAAATAAATATGTAGCAAGCTAGTTTAAAACTAGAGACAAACAGTGTTGCCAACAGCGCTGGCCCTAATGTCGCCGTTTCTCATGCTTGAAGTAGCCTAATCGCCGAATTTCAGTTGTCAATCAATATGAATAAAATAAAATACTGTTTTTATTAATTTATTTTTAATATGTCCATAACACACTGATAAATAGGCATAAGCCATCTTTAAAACACGTAAATGAAATTAAAGTTAACATTTTAAAAACTACATAGATAAATAAACAAAAATTAGGATTATTCTGTTTCCTCCTCTGCTAGCAATAATAAGGCATCACCAAGACTTTCGCCGTCTTCAGTAGTAGTTGATGTGCTAGTACTGGCGCAAGATCCACCGGAGACATACATTTTTCTGCCAGCGTGCAAACTCACCATGTGATTGCTTGGTTGAAAGTTGTTACAACACAAACCTCTTACATTCATATGGGTACGAATCCTAAGAATTGCGATAAGCATGGGTAGTTGCATGCGATTCCTTAATTTTGTTTTGATTGTCCCCATTACTCTGAAAATTCTTTCAACGACGGCATTACTCAAAGGTAATGAAAGGCATAGTATCGAAAACTCTGCTAGTTCTTTAAACATCAGGCTTCCACCAGCATTCTTCATTTTTAGCACTTGTATCCAAAAATTTACAATGTCATTAGGAGAAGCAGCGGTTCCGATTATCTCCTCAATGCGCATAGTGCTTAATATGCGCCATTGGTTCATAACAGCTTCTCGGTCAATATTAGGATCACCTAACTGCCAGGGAAAATATTTAATGTTGGGTTTGCCGGTTGAGAGGCATACGCGGCTTGGTGCAAAAGGTTCATTTTTTTCCACCACCGACACATTAAGCGGTAACCTGTCAACTAATTCTCTTACTAAGCGTACAAGAAAAGTAGAACATCGTTGCTTCACTTCTTTGGCTTTGTCCGCAAAAACAGTCTTTTTTGCAAGTAAATCATTAAACTTTTCTCCAAAGTCGATTGAGTCCAGTGGAAGCAGTGAATTTTCAAATGGAGCTCCGGCCTTTTCTAAAGCTCGCCTAACAGCTGCAATATCTGCTTCATGGAGCATTGATACAGAGGCATTTTCAACTTTTTGACTTTGACTTCTCAGAAATATTGGTTTGAAAACACGTCACAAAAGAAAGTATCCGAAGATCGCTATATATTTTTGTGATATTTGCATCACTTGCTTAAAATACAATATTAACATTTGTTACTTTTTTAATATCGGAGACAAAAACAACAAATATTATAAATTTGTATCATCATTATACATGGCAGCAAGCTCCCTTGCTGTATAACATCTTTCTGATGACTTCACCACATTAAAGTGAGTTTTTAGCTTAAGCCAAGCAATTGATGCTTGTTTTAACTGCTGAATGAAACGCCAGCCATCTACTTGCGGATAGCTGAGTTAGTTTCAAGGTTTTTTTTTACCATCATTAATGGTTTCAAATAAGGTGTGATATATTTTCATTCGCAGTGGACTGTGGGCAAACCGATTTCTGGTTTCCCTAAGTAAATATTCCAGACAAGACGGCAATTCCGTGCACGCTTTGGAGGCACATAAACTAAGGGAGTGACACACACATTTCAATAGCTGTAAATGGGGTATATCTGCTTGTAAGAGAGTGAAAAGGGAGTTTTGTTTGCCACAAAGGTTACTTGCTCCATCAGTTCCTATTGCAATTAGATTTTGAAGATTCAAACCCATTTTAGACATAAAACTCTTTAATGATGTATAAAGGCCACTAGCTGTTGCTTCAAATACTTCTTGAAAGCCTAAAAAATCAACAAATGTTTTTTCTAGTTTTGAATTATAGTATCGGATGCAATATGCCATGTACTTTTCTGTTATTACGTCAGTGGATTCGTCCAGTATACTAGAGTAGCTCTGGTTACCAACTTCTTCTAAAAGTTCCTTGAGCATGGCTGGTTCTAGAACATTTTTATAATGGCCGAATACTTTGATCTATGTAATTGAATGTTTTCAAGAGGACTCCCTGTCCCACAGGTTTTTAACACATCTGTCAGATGATCGATGCTGCGTACTTACTTTACGTATTTGTACATCTATTATTTTTTCTTTTGATGAACTGTTACTAATTGAGGAGTAGCCAAATGATGCAAGCTTGGGTTACTTTTTTGAACTCTTTGTCTTAATGTGTTTTAGTTTTCATGTGCTTTTCTAAATCCGTTTTGTGCGCACGGAGTGGTATGATACATAATTTACAAAATGCCTCACCTTTACCACTATCCGTCAGTACAACAGGTGCTCGACTAAGCCAATCTGTAAAAGAAATTGAACTCAATAATACACTAGGCAGTAGGTATGCATATATTGTATGTAACAGATAGGTATGGTACTGGTGGTTGATAACCATATCATATTTCTTGCTATTTGTGCAGTTTCAATCTAGCTAATACATCTTAACTAGACTGGGTAAATATTAAAAAAAATGTATGTGAAACTAAAAACCACGACTTCTAATTTAGTCTGGAACACAGGTCTGGAAGTAGTAAGACATAGTAACAGATATTATACCTACCTACATCACACAAAACATTAATATAAAATGGTACTTTCGTTTTTACTTACTTTTAAATGCTGGCAGTTTTTCCCATTCATCAAGATATTAATGCTTGATATATTTACAATGTTTACCCATTTTACAAAACAAGCACAGGAGAAGTTGTACAAAGTGAAAGTGACCAAGGAATAATCGGAATTTATCTGAACTATTTAGTCAGTACAACACAGATAATTGCGGTAGTCATTATTCATAATAGAATACATTTAAACCTATTGCTTGCTATTCTAAATTTGGATACATAATAGCTAAGACAAATTCAGGGTATTCCCCGAAAATAACCAATCACAAACAAATAGGGTGACCATCTCAATATCAAATTGTACCAACATTACACACACGCACGGCCGTATTCCTGTTTACATACTAGGTAGTATAAAAAAAACTTGTCACTAGACCAACTATTAATATTAATATTATAACTTCTAAATAATAATCAATTAGATATAATATTAAACCGTTGGTGGCCATTAACTTTACACTAGTTGACAGTTGTCAATCCCTTACGCGGAATCAAGAAATTGACATTGACTTGTTGGCAGCACTGTGCTATAAAGAATTTAAAAAACATATTGTCTGTTCTATTTCGGTGAGCTTTATATAAAAGTGCTAAATTACAATTTATTTTGTGTCGTGAATGTACACACGTTACTGAATGGAATAGGATTTTTGTTTGTGAAGAAAATCACATCGTTTCCGTACATGTTTGATTGGTCAAGAAAGTAAAGTAATTAAGTAGGTTATTAGATTAACTTATTGTCATATGAACAAAAGTACAATTTTATAATTTAGTGAATGAAAGAACAAATAGAAAGTAATTTGTTATTTGTAAGATAATTTACAAAATTAATTATCTACCCCTCCACAAAACGTACATGCATCGGAGACTGATTCAGAGAGCGTAGGTGGAAGTGTATCCGACCTACAAAAAGCAGAAAGCAACATCAATGTGAGCATTGGTCGCATGAAGAGAAAGCGGGAAAATGAATTACATAAGTAGTTTTATGGAAGAGGTGCGTATTATGATTTCCAAGTTTGTTTTCGATCAAACAAATAAATTACAAGTCTTAGAGTCATCATTAAGTGAAATAAAATCGCAAAACAGTACATTACAGTTATCATTGGAAACATTATCTTACAATCATCATCATTACAGCCCTTCACAAGTCCACTGCTGAACATAGGCCTCCCCTAAGTAATGCCACAAAGCACGATCCTGAGCCACTTGCATCCATCGACTTCCTGCATATCTTACCAGGTCGTCACTCCATCTAGTGGGGGTCGCCCTACACTACGCCTACCGGTACGAGGCTGCCACTCGAGAACCTTTCTTCCCCATCGGTTATCGGCTCTTCGAGCTATATGGCCGGCCCATTGCCACTTCAGCTTACTAATCCGTTGGGCTATGTCGGTTACTCTGGTTTTACTGCGGATATCCTCATTTCTGAGTCTATCACGCAGAGAAACTCCGAGCATAGCCCTCTCCATCGTTCGCTAACTGAGCGACCTTAAGCGTCCTCATACGGCCAGCAGTGAAGGACCACGTCTCAGATCCGTAAGTCATCACTGGCAACACGCACTGGTTATACACTTTAGTTTTCAGAGATTGAGGTATACCTGACGAGAAGACGTGTCGTAATTTCCAGAACGCTGCCCAGCCGAGTTGAATCCGTCGATTGACCTCTCGGTCGAAGTTGGACTTACTTAGTCGGACTATTTGTCCCAGGTAAACGTACTCGTCAACAACTTCGAGCATAGTGCTCCCAACAACTACCGGCATAGGTGTGACATGGACATTAAACATGATCTTTAGTTTTATCCATGTTCATCTTAAGACCTATCCGTTGGGAGGCACCATTGAGGTCATGGAGCATAGTGCTAAAGTCCTCCAGCGATTCTGCCATAAGGACTATATCGTCGGCAAATCGAAAGTGAGTGATGTACTCGCCATTGATGTTAATACCGTATCCTTTCCAGTCCAGTAGCTTGAAAACGTCTTCCAACGCAGCGGTGAAGAGTTTCGGGGATATAACGTCACCCTGTCTTACACCTCTCTGCAGTTGGATAGGTTTCGAGCTCTTGTTCTGTACTCGGATAGCCATCGTAGCCCTACTGTACAAACACTTCAGCACTTAGATATACCGACAGTCAACTTGGCACCGCTGAAGGGACTGTAGCCCCGCCCAAATTTCGACGCAATCAAAGGCTTTCTCATAGTCCACATACGCCAGGCAAAGTGGCAGATTGTACTCTTCGGTCTTCTGTACAATCGTATAATGTATGTGGTCTATGGTACTGAAGCCTTTTCGGAAACCGGCTTGTTCGGGAGGCTGGAAGTCGTCGATTCGTAATGACTCTCGAAAACAGCACGTAGACGCGGCTCAGAAGGGAAATCGATCTGTAGTTCTTCAAGAGAGCGTTGTCGCCTTTTTTAAAGAATAAGACCACCGCGCTTCTCTCCACGCCTCCGGAGTAGTGCCACCATGGAGGACGTAATTGAAGAGCTTCTGAAGGACTTTAAGTACCGGTGTTCCACACACTTTCCTGCCTACAAAAATAGTTATATCCCTAAAATATTTTTTTCAGGCTGACTTGTCCATACATCACAAAAGATATTTGAAGGACAACGCAATTCCACGTATAGAAATATTATACAAAACATTAGTTCATCATTTAGAGTTAATCATTTTTACAGGATAACATTTACCGGTGTAAGTGTTATCCTGTGAAAATGATTAACAAGAAAAAACGAGGCTACAATGACAACACTGAAGAAGAAAATATAAGCTCCAAACGTGGTAATCACTCACAGGCTGTAAGTTGTAATAGAATAACTGTTTCTTGAGATTATATTTAACTGAATGGAATATCCAATGAGAAATCATGTGTAAAATATGTGTTTGAAAAATATATCAATATTCGAAATAATTTTTTGTTTAATATCTGAATTACTAAAATACCAAATGGCAATTGTTACAGAAATATATATTTTTCCAAGGTTAATGAATAAACTTTTCAAAATTTATCTATAGAAAATATCAAAAACGTGCTTTGTACATTTTCGCCAAACACTAAATTCGGCAAATGTCTACTAGATCGCTTAATGATTACGAATGTGTTTAATTTTTACGATCTAGTCAAATTTCTAAATTTTACTAGAGATGATTATCAGTCATAATAATTATCATCATGTCCTTACAATTTTAACATTGCAATATATTGAATTCTGATTTTAATATTCTCTCTAAAACGTATTATCATAGTCAACCAAATCTAAGAAAAAATTTTGACAGCTGTCAGACTTATTGCACCAAGCATGCCAACCAAAAAATGGAAACGTACAATATTCGATTCTTAAAAAAAATCTTTTTTCTTTTTTTTGGTTATTTAGAGTTGGTAATCATTTGTAGGTTGATTTGAATAATACCAGAATAAATTAGAAGCAGATAATTTTTCAGTTTTTCGTAATTATTGTTAC